AAACAGCAGTATTGAATATAGTATATAATATATTTGAATATAAGTGATAAATAAATACTCAATTCCCATTTTAGTTTGATTAAGAMAAGTTATCAGATCTAAAAAGACACGAATATATCACCAAATATCAGAAAAAAATTAATAAGACAACATGGAAAAGGAATGTTCATTCACTTCGTTCCAATACAGTAATAAATGTAGAAACCGCTGTCCCTCAGATTTCGTTTCACTTTACAGTGCTCATGTCTCGCGGCATTATTCTTCATGTTGTGTATTCCTTGAAAAAAAAATCACTATATGATCATACAGGTCTTGTTATGTTTGCGTTTAAGGGCTTGCGGAATATTTATCAGGATTAGGGGGTGRGGAAGGGGTTGAGAAATGAGCCAAAAATCAAATTTAGCTACTCCCCCCTCCCTCGCAAATAAAAATAAATTACGCTCGGCACCCGCCCCCACCCAAACACACACGATGAATTTATTTCTTAATTATTGGCGAATAAGGAGTTGTTGCAAATCGTTTGCTAGTTTCTTTACCTCGGAGTATGGGTTTCCTTTGGCGGTACATGGACGCAAAAGTACAGAAGTACGCATTGAGAAGAGAACGTTCGTAGAAACCATTTCTCGGTCTATCTTGGCTATGGTGCACCGCTATTAAGCTGCAAAGATCAGTAAATGCATGTATATATATGTTAAAACTTAAARACTAGGATGATCCTCCCCTAGATAAGGCAAAGCTTTCGAGAAAAGAAGTGACCCTCCCCTAAAGCTTGCAAAATTGACATATCTCTCTCTCCTCTTCCACTCTAGCCTTCCCCTCCAAATAATAAACGTGCTTTTCCTAAAGCAATATTAATCTCAAATTGAGATGCGTTCCCTTTGGTGCTGTCGTTCCATTAAGTTGACGCCATCTAGCGGAAACCACAATGTAGCGACCCGCATTTTTTATTGAATGCCATGCCATGAATTATATCCAAGTGATAACTGAACAAGCATCAATAATCATTTCTTATAAGACAACGTTTGTCATTTCTTGAATTTCCTATAGTAAGCTAAAAATGGGTTACGCTCATAACTGATCTTGGACATGCATCTTATCAACCGCATGCAGTAACCTACAATTATAAACAGAAAGTTTCTGCTGATGAGAGGCTAAAAAGAGTCAATATGACATYCACTCTGGCAYCAGCTGTTGGATTCCAAGGCGGAGCAGTATCCAGATACTGAAGCAATTATCATGTATGACATGGACTTGAATCGATCGGTCATGACGTTTGCTGAATACCTGGATTATGGAGATTATTGTTTGATGAGCACTGCTTTGATCCACAAATTGTACACTGAGAGCCTTCAATTAAGTACAACCTCAACTATATCAAGTGCTAATATTTTCGGAGGACAGAGGCTTTGCCCTGAGTATTACGCAAGAGTATTTGGTATGTTTCCTGATACAATTATACTGGTGGTATATGGGTGCTCAGAGTGTACTAAGATTTCATCACAAATTATGGGAAAGGAATGCGTAGTAGGCAAGATTGGCAAAATATCAATCCTTCCTGGAGTGGAATTTAGTGTTATACACGTCGAAGGGAAAATAGTCCCCAGAGGAGGAATTGCTGGAGAAATTTTGATCAGAAACTCGAGGGTATTTTTGGAGTACTTAGCCAATTCTGAAGCGACAAGAAATGCAAATTTACCAACATTACTATAATAATACCATGATCACCTCGGATTCTTTTGTCTTCCGAGGGATGTTTACAAGCGAACATCCCTCCCTCATGAATAGCATGAGGGACGATTACTAGTAATCGTCCCTCATGCATAATAACATGAGGGACGATTACCAGTAATCGTCCCTCATG